AACATATTTACAGATCACTCTTAATTTGAATACAGGATAAACCAAGTGTAGTAGTGACACAACATGCAAGGAAAATAATAAGAAAATAAGAGAGAGGCATTAACCCTCAATAAGGAGATGTAAAATAGCACTACTTAAGCTAGGCCAAGAAGGATGGGAAGGATTCCAAAAGGAAGAGATGATGGGAAAGGATTTCACAAGGAGAAACTAGCATAAGGAAAGATATGGAGATAAGAGACTATAAGTAGGTTTGGGCAAAGGCAAGCCCTCCAAGCGATTGAGGTATAGAATATGTAAAACAGCATGGTACAAAACAGAATTGGAAACGTAGGCTGACATTATCAAACTGAATATCATACTGAGGAGTCTGTATGCTATTCTCCAGGCAGTAGAACCAAATCAGACTTTAGAAAGGACATTTTGCATCATATTGAATTAAGTGAAGACAAGGAAAGAGGCAGAGAGATCATTTAGGGACTGTTCAGAGTAGCAGTTCTATTTACAGGCAGCAGTCTCTCTACACTCTAAATATGTCTATAAACATTTAAAACACACAAGAGGCTAAGAAACTTCTATGCTGCTGCACACAAGCATTTCCAGAAAAATGTGGATTATGCCATGGATATTACAGATGCTAACTGCAGAGGAATATATCCATCCAACTAAGTTTATTCCAAAACGTGCAAGTTCCAAAGTTATAGTGGTTTTCTTCTTTTTTCTTTCTCTGAGAGATGAGATCTCACTATGTTGCCCAAGCTGGAATACAGTGACTATTCACAAGCACTGTCATTGTGTACTATAGCCTCAAACTTCTGGGCTCAAGCACCCCTCCTGTCATCCACCCAAGTAGCTGGGATTACAGTATGCAACATTACATCTGGCTAGAGTGGTTATCTTTTTAAACAGGATTTTGCCAGGGCTAAATAGTATCTCCAATAACAGTGTGGTAGTTTCACTTAAATAGTAAAATGCCTCAGTTATTTAAGGAAAATAAGTTGATCTGGTCTTCAAAAATAAAAATAATAAGATCAAATTATTTAGAGCTCTGCTCCTACTTCAGGAAAATAAATTCTCATACACAACTGGTGTGACCACGTCTACCTAAAAGACCAATTTGGCAATTAGTTTCCTATAAGCATAAGGCAGCTGATAATGTTTCCATTTTCTATGGCACAATGCTTTAATGACAGTTCTGTGTGATGCAATAACCCAAACCTATCATGATCTTGACATTTCTTACATCTATTCTGGGGTATTTGGCTTTTTTTTTTTTTTCTTGCTTTCAGGTGCTTTGTTTGATGTGTGATAGGCATTCCTTATGCATGCGTCTCAGTACCAGAATGTAACACAGTCTCATATACTTATGGGTGTCTTCTTTTCCTACTTCCTGTATAAAGTATTTGCAAGGAACTATAAAATTGTGGTAAATCCTCCAAGGACGAATATTTGCTACATTTATATCAATGTTATGTTTCACTGCTGTTTCTGTGCTTTTCTGAAGACAGAATAAACTTTCATTTCAATTCTGAATCATGATGCAATCATGATTAATTTTAAATGGAAATTCACCTTAATACCTGTAATTCAGTGCCTATAACTTAAACAAAACAATATCAACATGAACAGTATGACCAAGGTCATGAACACATGCATAGGCATTGACAACTGAAAAATCTGCCACTTGGGGTGCCGTGGCTCACGCCTGTAATCCCAATACTTTGGGAGGCCAAGGAGGGCAGATCGCCTGAGGTCAGGAGTTCTAGACCAGCCTGGCCAACATGGTGAAACCCTATCTCTACTAAAAATACAAAAATTAACCGAGCATGGTGGCAGGTGCCTGTAATCATAGCTACTTGGGAGGCTGAGGCAGGATAATCACTTGAACCCGGGAGGTGGAGGTTGCAATGAACTGAGATTGTGCCATTGCACTCTGGCCTGGGCGACAGAGTGAGGAGAAAGAAGAAAGAAAGAAGGAAAGAAGAAAAGAAAGAAAGAAAGAGAGAGAGAGAGAAAGAGGGAAAGAGAAGTTGGGGGAGAGATGGAGGGAGGGAGGGAGGAAGAGAAAGGGAGGAAGGGAGAGAAAGAAGGAGAGAGATGATTCAAACTGTCCTAAATAAACAGTATATTGGCTCACAAAAGCTTCAGGGTTGGTTAACTCAGAGGAAAAATTACATGATCAAGAACTCAGAGCCTAGCGTGGTGACACACACCTGTAGTCCCAGCTACTCAGGAGGCTGAAACAGGAGGATTGCTTGAGCCTGAGAAGTCAAGGCTGCATTGAGCCATGACTGTACCACTTGCACTCTGGCCTGGGTGACAGAATGAGACCCTTTTTCTCAAAAAAAAGAAAAAAAGAAAAAAAAAAAAACAGTTTTTTCCATCTCTCTGCTCTGCCTTCTGTAATATAGGCTTAATTCTAAGCCTCCTCTGCCATAATCTCAAGATGACTGTCAGTAACTATCAGGCTATATAGGCTACATTCTACCCCTTAACACTCAGCAAGATCAATGAAGTTCCTTCCAACAAACCTCCTATGAGTTGTTGGTCAGAACTGGTTTACATATCTTAAGCCACTTACATATCAATGGAAAGGAGGTTTGTTTGTTTGTTTGTTGTTGTTGTTGTTGCTTTGAGACTGAGTCTTGCCCTGTTGCCCAGGCTGCAGTGCAGTGGCACAATCTCAGTTCAATGTAACCTCCGCCTCCTGGGTTCAAGCAATTCTTATGCCTCAGCCTCCAGAGTAGCTGGGATTACAGGTGCCGGCCACCATGCCTGGCTAATTTTTGTATGTTTAGTAGTGACAGGGTTTCACTATGTTGGCCAGGCTGATTTTGAACTCCTGATCTCAGGTGATCCACCCACCTCGGCCTCCCAAAGTACTAGGATTACAGGCCTGAGTCACTGCGCCTAGCCTGGAAAGGAGTTTTTGTGATTAGTTTAGATTAACCAAGTCTCCAGAACTATAAAATTGAATTCATTTCTCCTGAGGCATATATGGTCTGTTCAACAGAAGGGTAAACTCCTGGTCAAAATTGGAGTTCTGTTAGTAAGGGAGAGTAGGGCAATACTACAGAACTCTCTTTTCTCTCTCTCTCTCTTTTTTTTTTTTTTTTTAAGATGGAGTCCCGCTCTGTTGCCCAGGCTAGAGTGTAATGGCTCTATCTTGGCTCACTGCAACCTCTACCTCCGGGTTTAAGCAATTTTCCTGCCTTAGCCTCCTGAATACCTGGGACTACAGGCACCTGCCACAATGCCTGGCTAATTTTTGTAGTTTTAGTAAAGACCATGTTTCACCATGTTGGCCAGGCTGGTCTTGAACTCCTGACTTCAAGTGATCTGCCCACCTTGGACTCCCAAGGTTCTGGGATTACAGGTGTGAGCCACCATGAACCCTCTTGAATACTTCTTTTGCATTCCTGCTAGTACCTAGCACTTGACATACTAATGGTCATTTTTTTTTAAGGCCAAGGGCTATGGCCTTATCTATTCTCTAATTTCCTACACTTGACTGATGCTCAATAAACGTCTGCTTTTTTTTTTTTTTTTTTTTTTTTTTTTTTTTGAGACAGAGTCTTACTCTGTCATCCAGGCTAGAATGCAGTGGCCCAATCATAGCTCACTGCTGCCTTGACCTCATGAGCTCAGGTGATCCTCCTGCCTCAGCCTCCCAAGTAACTGGGACTAAAGGTGAATGCCACCATGTCCAGATAATTTTTTTACTTTTCTATTTTGTAGAAACAGGGTTTCATCATGTTGTCCAGGCTTGTCTTGAACTCCTGGGCTCAAGCAATGCACCTGCCTTAGTCTCCCAAAGTATTTGGATTACAGGCATGAACCACTGCATCTGGCCTATTATTTTAATAGTAGGCAGTATTGTTTTTGTTTTGTTTTGTTTTGAGACAGAGTCTCACTCTGTAGCCCAAGCTGGAGTGCAGTGGCATGATCTCAGCTCACTGCAACCTCTGCCTCTGGGGCTCAAACAATTCTCATGCCTCAGCCTCCCTCGTACCTGGGACTACGGTGCACAATACCATGTCCAGATAATTTTTTGTATTTTAGTAGAGACAGGGTTTCACCATGTTGCCCAGGGTGGTCTCAAACTCCTGAGCTCAGGAGATCCACCTGCCTTGGCCTTTCCAAGTGCTGAGATTACAAGCGTTGAGCCACTGTGCCCAGCTTGACAGTGTTGCTTCCAACATTGGTTGTCTTTCTTTCCAAAAGAATTTTAAAATTACCTATAGCTTCCTTTTCTTTTTTATTCAGAGGACCCTGAACCAATAGAAAGAAAACAAAGATTTTGCTTGAAAAATCTGGTCCAGTTAGATTCTTGGGCTAAATTTTTTATATTCCCAAGAATTTAATGGGCATGGCAACTTATCCATGAGGGTAAAGTCACAAAGTGTATAATAGCTAAATAGTGAAACAATGTCATTAAAAGAAACAGGATTGGCCAGGCACAGTGGTTCACATCTGTAATCCCAGCACTTTGGGAGGCTGAGGTGGGTGGATCATGAGGTCAAGAGATTGAGACCATTTTGGCCAAAATGGGGAAACCCCGTCTCCCCTAAAATTACAAAAATTAGCTGGGCATGCTGACATGCGCCTCTGGTCCCAGCTATTTGAGAGGCTGAGACAGGAGGATCACTTGAACCCAGGGGCAGAGGTTTCAGTGAGCCAAGATCACGCCATTGCACTCCAGCCTGGTGACAGAGTGAGACTCTGTTTGAAAAAAAAAAAAGAAAAGAAAAGAAACAGGATTATATTAACCAAAGCTGTTTACCGAAAGCTTTAACAAGGATTCAGGGAAAGGAGGAAGTAAGCCCACATCTATATAAAAAGATTTCTTTTGCGGAACTCTGCTCCATGGAAGACAAACAGAGATTATAGCTATTTGTTTTTTTCTTATTCTGGTTGTATTCCAATATGAATCATTTCTTGTTCTAAACTATTCTGCTTTCCTTTTATTTGATCCCCAGAGTCTGAAAACTAAAGATAGATGAGATCTGCTTGGCTAGCTAATCTTTTTTTTTTTTTTCTTGTTGCCTAGGCTGAAATGCAACGGCATGATCTCGGCTTACTGAAATCTCTGCCTCCTGAGTTCAAGCAATTCTCCTGTCTCAGCCTCCCAAGTAGCTGGGATTACAGGCGCCTGCCACCACACCCAGCTAATTTTTTTTTTTTTTTAATTTTAGTAGAGACGGAGTTTCACCGTGTTGCTCAGGCTGGTCTTGAACTCCTGACCTCAGGTAATCCACCTGCTTTGGCCTCCCAAAGTGCTGGGATTATAGGTGTAAGCCACTGTGCCCTGGCCCAAACAGCAACTTTAGATGGGGCTTGGTTTTCATAATTTATACTCCTTTTTATGAAATGGTTTTTATGGATCAAATTCAGATAAAAAATAAATCTTGGAGTTAGCTCTCATCAATAGCAAACATATTGTTTTTATTAAAATAAATGGTACAGTAACATTTACCTTCTATTCACTATAAGACCAGACAGCATAATATGATATTCAATCAAATTTTCTGGAAACATGATAGATCTTATCTTGGATTTGAAATTTGAGAAACGCTGATTTCTAAAACCTCACCTTCATCATATTAATTTCTACTGTATCAATCAATCATTTCTGAGCTTCTCCTATGGACTCAGCTTGTTTCCTTTTTTTTTTAAATTGTACTTTAGGTTCTGGGGTACATGTGCAGATCATGCAGGGTTGTTGCATAGGTACTTATATGGCAAGGTGGTTTGCTGCCTCCATCCCCCCGTCACCTGTATCTCCGTACTTGTATCACAAATCATAACATGTATCCCCAAAAAAGAGGAGAGATATTAGCAAAGGAAATGTAACGGTGGGCCACTAAAAGGCACTACAGAGAGATTCTTCCATCAGCAGAAAAATATTGCTGAGAAGAAAATATGAACTCAATAAAACTGAAAGAATATTGGTTATCTTGGAGACAGCAGTCTTAGGGATGGAAGTCAAAGCTCAAGATGTTAAGAAGAGAATGGGAGAAGAGAAAGTGGGCACAGTGAGTGTGGACCACACATTTTAGGAGATTGACAGTGAAAGGAGAGAGAAAAAGGACATGAGCTAACAGTATCAGCAAGTTCCGATAAGGCCAGTCTCTGAGTCCTCCTTCCTGCCCTCAGGGACTTGGACACAGAAAGATATTCCACACCTTCCCTCCATAATTTGAACCCCTGGGTCCCAGAGAAGTCTCTCCTTTTAAGTGGATGAACAGAAGCTGGAGTGGTGCAGTGGCGTAATTGCAGCTCACTGCAGCTTTGAACTTCTGGGCTCGACTGATCTTGATTCTCCTTTCTCAGCCTCCTGAGTAGCTAGGACTATACATGTGGCACCACACCCAACTAAGTTTATTTTTGTTTTTGTAGACATGGGCTCTCACTACGTTGTCCAGCCTGGTCTTGAACTTTTGGCCTCAAGCAATCTTCCTGCCTCAAAAGATCCTCTCACCTCAGCCTCCCAAAGTGCTGGGATTATAGACATGAGCCATTGCACCCAGGCTACAGGTCACTTTTCTAAGACAGATATGTTGCAATTATAGACAATCTGAGAAGTTGAAGGTCAAATCTTATAGTGTTTGTGTTGAAAATAATAAAAACTGGGAGCAAGGACTATGAGAACAGAACTGAGTCGAGAGAGATAGGAGAAGCTCTGATCCTCTCTGATAAATCAGTTTGAGTTCCTGGTCTGTATTATTTGCTTTCCAGATAGTATTACAGATCTAGATAGATTGCTACCCTTACTAGACAGTATTACAAATCAACTGTCCTAATGTCACTGCAAGACTGTATGGAGGGGGGAAGAGGGCCCAGAGAGAGGCTAGAATCAGAAGTTGGAGGTTTTAGGTATTATCATTGCATTAGCCCAAATTTTGAGTTTGCTATACACAAAAAAATTGATGATAAATTATTGGGCTAGTTTAAATTTGCTAAACCATAGTAGGGGCCCTATCATTAATTTAAAAAAAAATTTTTTTGAGAAGGAGTCTCACTCTGTTGCCCAGGCTGGAGTGCAGTGGCATGATCTCAGCTCACTGCAACCTCTGACTCCTGGGTTGAAGTGATTCTCCTGCCTCAGCCTCCCAAGTAGATGCTACTACAGCCGTGTGCCACCATGCCCAGCTAATTTTTTGTGTTTTTAGTAAAAATGGGGTTTCACCGTGTTAGTCAGGATGGTTTTGATCTCCTGACCTCATGATCAGCCTGCCTCAGCCTCCCAAAGTACCGGGATTACAGGCATGAGCCACCACGCCTGGCCAATAAACATTTTTTATAAAGGACTAATGATATACCATGTTGAATTTCTTTCAAACATTACACATATTTGGTCTCCGTTGCTGTTCTCTATCCATGAAGAATTGAGTCAAGTCAAACACTAAAGTTTGAGTACACACTGAGACATCAGACTAACAAAGAGAGAGGAGAGAGAGAGAGAGAGAGAGAAATAAGGAAACAAGCCATTCTAAAAGAGAAAAACTACTTCTGGGTTGATCTTGGCTTTCAATTCACTCTGTCCTTTCTTGGCTTCCACATAAATATCTCTGTATTCACATTATTATGTTCACTTAAATTTTAGTTTCCAGTTTGATTTGAGAAAGTCTTTTTTTTTTTTTTTTGAGATAAGAGTCTCACTCTGTTGCCCAGGCTGGAGTGTAGAAGTGTGGTCTCAGCTCACTGCAATCTCCATCTCCTGGGCTCAAGCGAACCTCCCACCTCAGCCTCCCAAGTAATTGGGACTACAGGCTCACAGCACCATGCCCAGCTAATTTTTGTATTTTTTGTAGACACAAGTTTTGCCATGTTGCCCAGACTGGTCTCAAACTCCTCGGACTCAAGTGATCTGCTAGTTTCTGCCTCCTAAAGTGTTGGGATTACAGGCATGAGCCACTGTCCCCAGCTGTATTCTTGGTATGTAATGGGTACTCCATTAACCACCTGACTGATGAACAGGAGGATGACACTGAGCAAATGAACAGACTTTTTAACTTGAATTGCTTCTACTTAATAGTTTACGTTGATTTAGGAAACATATTACATGGCTTTGGAGAAAAAAAAATTGATCATGGAACATTTTTAATAGAGACAAAACTTTCATTCTATGTCTGAAAGACAGAAGGGGCATGCTTATTACCAGTATAATCTTTGGGTTTTCTGAATGAATGGAGTTATAGAAATGAGACTGCATCTAAGTAAATACATTAATCCTGTTCCAGATTCAGTGTTTTGGCTAGTACGTTTTCAATTGTTCATTGTCATTCCTTAAATAGGCCTCTCTGTGTAATAACAAAAACATTTTCTTTCTTTTTTTTTTTTTTTTTTTTTAGTTATACCATGTTCAGAACAAAAGCATTTTCTTAGCAACCATTACCAAATAATTGAAGGGATGGAATACAGTGCTATGACACAAAGATAACACTATTACATTTATATAAAACTTTATAGTTAACAATGTACCTTTCTATCTTATGACACGTTAATCATCTAATCCTTGTGACTCCACAATATAAATATTATTACTATTGTCATCATTTTACCGATGGGTAAATTGAGACTTAGATCAGGTAACTTGCTAAAAAAAAAATAATAATAATCCCTGTCCACCTAAGTTTTATCCTTTCCTCCTGGTTGGTATATTTGTCATGCCTTGATCTTTCAGTGTAATTTGGGACAATTATGCATGGATGATAAGAATAAGAAAAAAAAAGTTAAAATGTCAACTGAGGAAGAAAATAAGAATGTAATTAATGAAAAGCTTCCTAGATGACAGTGTCTATATAGACTTATAAAAATGATATGAGGCCGGGCGCGGTGGCTCAAGCCTGTAATCCCAGCACTGTGGGAGGCCGAGGCGGGTGGATCACGAGGTCAAGAGATCGAGACCATCCTGGTCAACATGGTGAAACCCCGTCTCTACTAAAAATACAAAAAATCAGCTGGGCATGGTGGCGCGTGCCTGTGGTCCCAGCTACTCAGGAGGCTGAGGCAGGAGAATTGCCTGGACCCAGGAGGCAGAGGTTGCGGTGAGCCGAGATCGCACCATTGCACTCCAGCCTGGGTAACAAGAGCGAAACTCCATCTCAAAAAAAAAAAAAAAAAAAAAAAAAAAAAAAAAAAAAAAAAAAAAAAAGATATGAAAAGAAAAGAAAGAGATGTAAGTGTGTCTAAATGACAAAGAAGCTAACCTGAATTAGCTCCTAATAGCAAAAGCCATATAATCAACAAAGCCATATAATGGACTGGGCATTGTGGCGACTCATGCCTGTAATCCCAGCACTGTGGAAGGTCAAGGTGGGCAAATCGCTTGAGGCCAGGAGTTTGAGACCAGCCTGGCCAACACGGAAAAACCCCATCTCTACTAGGAAAAAAAAAAAATTAGCCAGGCATGGTGGCACACACCTGTAATTCCAGCTACTTGGAAGGCCGAGGCATGAGAATCACTTGAACCCAGGAAGCAGAGGTTGCGGTAAGCCAAGATTGCACCACTGCACTCCAGCCTGGGCAACACAGCTAGACTCTTCTTAAAAAATATATATATAACAATATGTATTAATAATAATAGTATTATAACCCAAAGAATATAATAAATATCCATGAGTCCACACAGATATAAATAAAGCACTAAATAAATAAATAAGTAAACAGGAGAAAAGGAACAATTATTACTTGTAGAAGAATTCCAATTAACAGTGTAGAAAAAATAAGGGAAACAGAAAATTACAGTTAGAAAACCACAATAGTGGCCGGGTACAGTGGCTCACACCTGTAATCCCAGCACTTTGTGAGGCCAAGGCAGGTGGATCACCTGAGGTCAGGAGTTAGAGACCAGCCTGGCCAATATGGTGAAACCCCATCTCTACTAAATATACAAAAAATTAGCCAGGCATGGTGGTGGGTGCCTGTAATCCCAGCTACTTGGGAGAGGGAGGCAGAATTGCATTAACCCGGGAGGCAGAGGCTGCAGTGAGCCGAGATCGCACGATTGTC